AAAAAAACATTAGCTTATATATTACATTAAAATTGAAACTTCAAAAACTCGATATGCCCCAAGGGCTAGACTATTGTTTTGGTTTAAAAGATTGAAATTTAAAAAACAAAGTCATTATTTAATTTATAAAGAAATCATTAATTTTAACATATGTTACTTAAAAAATGGGCACAAATTTAATATTATGATGTACTATTTTTCTTTAAAAACAAATATAATATAATATATGGGGCTTTAACAAGCCGATTCATTGAGTCAGCCAGTGTCAGGCCCGATTTTGATTAGGCTCGTGTCGTGCTAGGCAATATCTATTAGATCAGCCTCGTACCGTGCACAACCTGACTTTGTCCGTTTGACACCTCTAATCACAACTCAATGAGATAGGGAATGTTATTTAAAAATTGAAAATTATTATATGAGCAAATTTTAATGAAGAAAAAAGAAGAAATAAAATATTAGGGAATGATATATATATACTGACTTGGGTCCCGAACCGTGGCTTTGACAATATAACCGCGTTGTAATAAGAGCTTCACCAGCCATGATGCTATGAAACCAGACGCTCCTGTTACACACACCACCTTCCCTTCTCTGCTCATCTTCTCTCTCTCTCTCTCTCTGTATATGTGAAGCTTTTAGTATTAATATATATGGTGTTGGTGGGCTTTTATGGTGAGAGAAATGAGCTGAACAACGACAAAAATGTCCATGGAGGCAAAGTCAACTAAAGATGTCCAAGTCGGCGACTTCTCAACAACGACAAAAATGGAAAGATGTTTTTTTTTTTTTGGTCAAGAAAATGGAAAGATGATAAGTACAACGATTGTGGTTATCATTTTTTTACAATTTTATTAAAAGTACTTTTTATGTGGTGGAGATTTGCCTATTGTAGTTTAAGAACCTGTGCATTACAGAAGATCTTTGTGTGCATTGATTCGTGGGATAAGATTAGTAGCCGTAGCTTTTAATTTTCATTTTCTGTCACATTTCTTTCACTTTCCACCAACTACCATTTTTCCATCTAACTTAAAATATTTCATATTTTCAGACCATGTATTTCGTCACACACAATGTTGTATTATATTTACAGGCCCGACTTTGAGAGTTTGAGAGCCACCTCAGGTCTGGCCATTTAGCAAGCAGACAGCCTGAGGCAGGCTAAGGTTCCTAAGTTAGAGTTGTGTAGAGAAGATCGTTTTGAGCACTAATTAATTAACTGATTCACAATAGTTTGAACAAATATTAAAATAGACACAATATTATTGAGAATTAATTTAAAGATAGTGAAGCAACACAATGCCAACTTGAGCTTTTTAATTAGAGTTTTTCTATTTAAACTCCATACTTTTTTTTGTTCACTACAATACTTAAATTACCGTACTTCTCTTTGTTCACCCAAATACATAAATTATTAAGCTGTTAGTTTTATTATTGTGTAAAAAGACAAGAAAGGTCATTCAACTTAATATTTAACCCTAGTACATCTATCTATACACACACTCCACCACTCTTCATATTAAGTTTTAGAAAAATACAAACTCCTCTAGATCCTATCGCTAATGAAATCTAGTCCCGTAAGAAAAGGTCTTAACTTGCATTTCAGTGGTCTGAGGTTTGAACCCTACCACACACATCTTTGTCTGAGTAATTAACCTTTTTAATCACATGATAAAAACAACCTTGTGAAAACAACAAAATCTCATGTATACTACAAATATTGTTTAATGATTTAATGATTTAAGTATTAGAGTGAACAAAGAAAAGTGTGGGGTTTAAATAGAAAAACTCTTTTATTTATTTATTTATTTTTCAGCTTGAGATGTATTTAAGGGTAGTTTGGGAAGATAGTGGAGTTTTCTTAGAAATTGTGAAAATTTAAATTAGAAGTTGGGGTGAACTTAGAACATGGGTTGAACAAAGAGAAGTGTGAGGTTTAAATAGAAAATCTCATAAATTCACAATAGTTCGAACAAATAATATTAAAATATACACAATATTATTGAGAATTAATTTAAAGATAGTGAAGCAACACAATGCCAACTTGAGCTTTTTAATTATTTATCTATCTATATATATAAAGCAAAATGCAGAGAATTGTGAAATATTCAAAATACCAGAAAATGCCCTCAGTTAATTCAAACATTAAGAATTGAAATTATTAATTAAATGAGGATAATATGGTAAATTCACTTTTTTTCATATTAAAAGAATTAAAATTAAAAACAAAATCAGATAATAAGTCCTACTTTTATGCAACATAACTACCCATGTTATCTTTTCTTAATTCTAAAAATAAAATAAAAAATAAAATAGAAAACCAATTGGGACATGGGGCTAGTAGTTATTTTAAAAAATGATCAACTTGAAAAAAGAGACAAAAGGGATAATTACATACAGGAAGATTGAGCCATATATATCAAGATCTGAAAGCAACTTTCTAAGAATTTGCGTAGTCAATGAGAACAGTCTGAACAAGAACAAAACAAATCTCATCATCCCTTTGGAGTTTAGCAGAAGAAAAACTACAAAATGCCAAAATGTGACCAACTTGTGCAGTAAATTAGGAAGTTTCTATCTTGAGGAAGCCCTTCTCCCTGAGACTTTCAACAGTGTCCCTCAGACTTACTTCCAATGGAAGGAAACTAACTCCCAAGCTTTTTGCTTTTTCCTGCGATACTTGATATGTGGGTTCAGAAGGATTGGCCTCCTCATATCTGCCAACAATGAAACAAATAAATCTTTACCTTAAAAATTTGTCATATTCGAAAAGGAAAATTGCCAATATGTGGAATTTTGCAAATTATAACTTACTTTTCAGGTGGGAACAGAGAGGGATGAAGTTCATGTAAAATCTTTAGAACCTCGGCCATGGATGTAACATGCCCAACTAAACAATATCTTCCATTAGCTGAAGGAACCTCAAATGCTTGAACATGAGCTGAGGCAACATCTCTAACATCACTAGATATATAAATTGAACTGCTTACATCTTCAAATTCTGCATAGAAAAGAAACAAACTTGCATCACAAGAATCATCTAACATCAAATGACTAACTTTAAATGTTATTTTGTTACCTGAACCAACATTTCGTTAACATTAGATAAACATACCTAATACTCTAACAATTATGCTAGCTGCCTCAACTAAGTTAATTCTGACTCTCCATCATAGTCTGCTCTAACCAAGCAAAGATTGAAAAGGAAAAATCATATATAGTTGCTGAAGTGTACCGTTTTTGAGGTTGAGAATCATCTCCACAGTAGGATTAAGGCTTGGTTGTAAGAGTGGACCAATCACAAAGGATGGATTTATGGTAACCAAGTCAATCCCATTTCCTTCAGCAAATTTCCAAGCAGCTTCCTCAGCTAAAGTTTTTGAAAGAACATACCATTGCTGGACACAGAGAAGAGAAAGAAGTTCGTACTAAACCAAGATATACTTCCTGCCTTGTTTTATGTTAAGCATACCTCAATGCAACGAATCACATGAACAACTGATTTATTATTTTTATTTTATTTTTATGGCTGAAAAACAACTGAGATTGTGCTCAAGAAGATGGACAAAAACTTGGAAGCTACTTCTGTAGAACAAATGAAGAACAGGGGAGAATAAAAGGAAAGAAGAAAGATATAGGATAATTATTCATCTCTTGCATAATTGGATGCAGATACTTGTAAAGGTGACAAATTCAATATTGTTAATGTCAGGGAAATATAACAAATGAATAATGATTAAATGAATAAAAGGTGAAACTTGGAAGAAGATAATAAGCATGGGTGCATACACACTTACCTTCAAACTCTCACAAAGCAGAGGATCTGAAAACCATGTTTCATCAATCACCACATCAGGGGTCAATGGTCTTCCATTTTGCTTGACTGCAGCCATAGAAGATGTTAAAACAACCCTCTTGACGGTAGCGAATTTTACGCACGATTTTAGAACATTAAGGGTTCCCTTCACTGCAGGGTCAATTAATTCTGCCTGAGATTGTGTAGACAAAAGAACCATTTCAGTTTTGAACTCTATAAGAAATGAAAGTAAAGGGATGAATGCTATTATATAGCACCTGAGGGTTAGTGGCTGAAAATAGAACAGGGGATGCTGTATGAAAAACACCTTCACATCCATCAACTGCAGCGTCAAAAGATCCTTCTTCTATCAAATCTGCTTGGAACAAATGCAGCCTTTCTTTTGCCCCATCAAGTGCCAATAAGTGTTCTGTTTTCTTTGAGTCATCTGTGGCATCACAGGCATAAATGCAAAAGTGATTAGTTCACCTAAAGGGCCTCTCCATACATATGCTCCGTGTATTTACTTTTATTGGATGATGATATTGTGTTTATATCCAAAGTTCTTTTCTAACCTTATTATCTTTCCAGTATAAATCCTAATGGTAAAAATATTAACTCAAAACATTTAAAAACCATGTTTTTGACATAAATATAATCGGGAGATGGTCCATTAAGGATTTTATGTTAAAGGTAGTTAAGGATTTATAATCTCAGCTATTGAATTGCATGTATGGTACATATTAACTCACTAACACTTCTAATGTATGGCCGAGATAAGAAGTTCTTAGCCAACACTAGGGTGCTCTCTATTTATGCTGGTCACGAGCGTGGAGGAAAAAACTTGTACACTGTTGGCTTGATAGATCTACAATATTGTTCACTCACATTTCTTTGATAGCTTATGTTTTTGGAACCTAATGGTTTTCTATCATGGTACTTGTTAGAGACATTTAGATGATGACGTGTTGCAAGATTAGTCCATATTCATAATTGTCTAACATTAATCACATGATTACATATGAAAACAACAACCGAAACTCACAATTCGTCTTCTTCGTAGATTTCACATGGGTTATATAAACCCAAGCAGCACTAGCACTCATGGGAGGAGAGGATGTATGAAGATAGATGAGAGAGTGAAAAAAGAGGGGACGCACGTGGGTGGTAGGGAGTCTGTGAGTTGGGAGAAGAAAAGTCGAGAAGAAGGTGGAAGGTAAAGTGTGCTAACATTTTTTGTTGTTGATAATCTTGTTTTAATCAAACATTAGTTTCAGATAATTTTAGGTTTTCTTTTATTAAAAACATTAAAATATTAATGAAAAATTAAAAGTTGAAAAGAAATAACACTTCATTGTTTATTTTGTTCTCATATCCTACTACAAGAAGTTCTGTACTCAATAATATGTATTTATTTTGGGGAAAAAAAAAATTGTATGTATAAAAAACACTATTATGAGATGCATCTTTGGTAATTCGTATTTATATTTATACATCACAACAACACCCAATAACATTTTTGGTGTCTGCCTGAGTAATTAGAAATAATTTTAAAAAATTATTTTTTAGTCCGACACAGCACCAAATATAGGTATTTACTATTTTTACAATCTAGCTTCTTAGTCTGACGCAACACCAAGCGTAGGTCAGTACTTAATCCAGCTTAGGCCAATCCGAGCTAATCCAAGATAGTCCTAGAATTTAGTCCAGTTCATGACAGTCCGCCATACCAAACGACCCCTAAATGTTTAGCTAAATTTTATGGGTGGGCTATGTTTAACCCTCCACTTCTGGAGATGGCCTAAGGTGTCAAATGGGCCCGTCCCATTTAAAGTTGGCTCATTAGGACTCGGAAAGGCTAGAATGAGGAGGTTGAGTGAGGAGGTTATTTGAGGAG